ATAATTATATATTTGGGCTCGTGGGTGAATGGGTGATTTGATTTTGTTCCGAACCTCGTGTTTTGACCAAGCGGGCCCGGGGTCAATTTTTGGTTTTTTGGGAAGAATGATTAGAAAGCTATAATTAAGCATTGGAATTGGATTGTTTAGCATTTATTGATGTTATTGAATCGATTATGCATAGATACGATTGTGTTGGAGCCAAATTCGAAAGGAAATGCGGTATTTGAGGCTTGAGTTGGCCGTGGAAGTTTGAGGTAAGTGTTCGGTCTAACCTTAGCTTGAGGGATTAGGAGTTGAGTCCTATTTGCTATTTGTTTCTTGTTGAGTATGACGTATAGGCATGGTGATGAGTATCTATACGTTGGCGTTGAGCATGACCGTGAGTCCTAAGTTGATACTTGTTGTATTCTTAAATGATCCTACGAATGCTTTAGTGGGTGAATTCTTGATAATTAGTAAGACTTAGTTTATTTTCGTGGAAGTTACTTATGATTGAGAAATGGTGATAACTGAGATGAGTATGAGTTGAGTTAAGATTAGTTATAGCTGATTCTCCCTTGCCGGGACGTATATACTTGTATTGTTGATCCCTTGCTGGGACTGTTATTATGATCACTGTCGATATTATATATGGATCGGGTTGCGCGCCGCAACATTTTTATATATATGTGGATCGGGTTGCACGCCGCAACAGATATTATATTGGATCGGGTTGCACGCCGCAACAGATATTATATTGGATCGGGTTGCACGCCGCAACAGATATTATATTGGATCGAGTTGCACGCCGCAACAGATATTATATTGGATCGGGTTGCACGCCGCAACAATGTTAAATGATAAGGGATCGGGTTGCGCGCCGCATCAGTAGTATTATTGTTTTGTTATAGATATTGAACTGTCCTTCCATATTTTATTAAATTACTGTTGGATTTGATATGTTTCCCCGAAGCATGTACCCCCTCACATTTAAACTGTTTATTTCTGTTTATTTTCCGCCATATATTATATAATTGTACAGGTTTATCTGGAGTCTGGTCCTAGACTCGTCACTACCTCGCCGGGGTTAGGCCAGACACTTACCAGCACATGGGGTCGGTTGTGCTGATACTACACTCTGCACTCTGTGCAGATACCGAGGCTGCACGGGGACATCAGCAGTAGTTCGGGAGCCAGCCTTTAGTCCACCGAGACACCGAGGTAGCCCTGCAGGCGTCCGCAGGCCCGGCGTCTCCTTTATCTTTTATTATGTTCTGTTATCTCTTGTATTCGAGACAGACAGTGTTACTTCTTTCAAACAGTTGTATGTAGTAATCTTAATAGTCCGTGGATGGTGTGACACCAGTTTCTGGGTAGAGGCATATGTGGATTTCCTTATCATTTTGGTTCATTTTGTCTAAGTCTTCCGCTTAAATCTCATATTCCGTTGTTATTTAAATGTTTATCGCTTGCTAATATGTGTTGTAAAAAGGATTAAAACAAAGGAGTTAAGAATTCATAATTTCGTGGCTTGCCTAGCTTCTACGAGTAGGCGCCATCACGACTCCCGATGGTGGGAAATCCGGGTCGTGACAAATATGTTGAATGCATAAAAATTGTAAAATATCAAAACTGTCCTATGCTAGGCAGACATGTTGATCCTGAGCTGCCTGGTTATTCTCACTTATAGTATAGGAATAGGAATAGAAATAGAAATAGACCTGTCCTACTAAGGAAATATTATTTCTCAAAATTCAAAAAGAAAATTGCTCTAAAAAAGAAATATTAGAGCGTAATTGCGTAAACCTATCAAAAGAGAAAATTAAGAAGGGAAAGGAAAAATTATCATTCTATCCGTAAAAGTAAAAACCTTGGGTCGGAGCGTCGATACAGAAAACCTCCTTCCTGTCTCCATTGTTTTTTATATGCTCCTCTTTTCCAGTGGCGGTCGCTGGTAGGGATGTCAAATAGGGCGGGTAGGGCAGGGCGGGGCAGGGCAGGGCAAGCCTTGACCCGCTAAAATTTTAACCTGCTTTGCCCGGCCCCGTTTAGCAATTTTTCAAACTTTGTCCTGTCCTGCCCCGCCCTATCATGCCCTGCCCCGTCCCGCGCCCGGTTATATATTTTTTTTAATTTTTTATTTTGTTATTCATCTTGTAATATGCTACTCCCTCTGTTCCACTTTATGTGAATCTATTTCCTTTTTGGTCCGTTCCAAAAAGAATGAACCTTTCTAATTTTGGTAACAATTTTGCTTAAACTTACAATTCTACCCTTAATAAGAAGCTTTTATAACCACACAAATACTCTGGACCACCTTTTGACTTGTTTAGGACCACATATCCCCCAAAAGTCTTCATTTTTTCTTAAACTCTATGCCAGCCAAACATGTTCACATAAATTGAAACGGAGGGAGTATCTTTTTTGTTAAAAAAAACTACTATTTCGACTCTATTGAGACACTAGTAAAATTTTCCGCGCGTCGCGCAGTTATAAGAAATAGCACTAAATTAAAAAAAATAACAACATATAACGGATGAGAGAGAGATCATTTTTTAAATTAATATGGATATAAAAAATAATTGTACATATTAATAAATCATATACTTAGCACTTTAATTAGAATTAGATTTTAGGTTACTGCATTTTTTCCTGATTTTCTTTTTAAAAGAAAATAAAAGAGAAAGAATTTTTAAGAAAAAAATTCACTTACATATATTATAATAAATGAGGAGAAAGTGAGAGGTTGATACATGACTTTTTAAGTACAATTATATGTTAGAGGCATGTAAATAGATTATTTTTTCATTAGATAGTAAAACATCGGCTTTGCTAAAATTTCTCATATTCAAATAACAGAAATATGAAATAAAAGTAAAGAAACTAATAACGAAAAGAAAATAAAACAAACGAAATATGTAGAAATTGCAGCGTATTTATTTTTTCTATTCCTTCTTGTTATCCCATTTATAGCCTTCGTGTTTGTCTTTTCTTTTGTATTCATTAGTTTCCTTCTCATATTCTCCATTCCAAGGAGAACAAAGTACTTCACTTCAGAATACTTGCTCAATTATTTGTATCCTCTCACCAAAATATTTTTTTTTTTTTTTTTACAAATAATAGGCAATTCAAAGAAGAAATCAAAACATAACTTCCAAAGAGAAAGATAATTATCACAATACTTCAAAATTATAAAGTAAACCAAATAATTTAAATTTTGTCGTATATAAAATACATGTTTCAATCATATGAATAAAATAATTACTTACTTTATAAAAATCACAAATAGAAATGAAGTAGAAAATAATTTCTATTTTACAAGAAACAACACATGCCGATGGCTCAGCAAAGAAGAACCTGTGCCTGCTTTGTGACTTTTAGCTCTAACACTTTTTACTCGCTAAAAGAAATAAGAAGTGTTGTCAAAATATCCAATGAAGAGCGTATTTGAACGTTTAAAATTTATCCCTTTTACACAATGAGCTGTTATTATTTAGTAGTTGGCAGACTTCAACCAAAGTTTAACTCATAAGTAATTAATTTGAGTCTAAACGAAAATACAAACTTGCGACAAACAAAAGTTCATAAAAATAAAGCGAAAGAGAACACATGAGAAAGTAAATAGAGAAGAAAAAGATACAACTTGAGATCTTAATCTTAAGAAAATAGAAGCAAATAGAAATGCAAAATCAGCGTATAATTTTTCGTGTTCTTGTCGACACCCCCTCCCGCAATATCGATCATTATTCAAGAGCCTTCTTCCTCAAGTCAAACTAAAACATGAATCGAATGTTACAGTAAATATGACAACATTACTATTTCAGGTAAATAATAGAAAAGGGTAGTTTTGTGTAGGGGTCTCGTGAAACAAAGTAATGAATTTATATAGGAAAAAATAGATGAATACCATAAGGTATTTTATTTTTTAAATTAAATATTTGGCGGTTATGAATATGAAAAGTATGGGAGTTATGGATATTATTAAAAATAGAACTTAAGGTAGTATGAGTTATGAAAATGAGAGAAATGAAGGGGAAGATTAAAAAAATGAGATAAATTATCATAAAGTTACACATTAAATTTTTGGAGGTTATGAATATGAAAGGGATTGGAGTTACTGAGACTATTAAAAGTATAGGTTATGAAGATAAAGAGTTGTGAGTTATGAAAATAATTTTTTTAATTTTATTATAAAATAAATTGAAAGAATGATAAAAAATCCCAAAAAAAGGAGAAAAGAGAAAAATATGTTTTTTGGCATAAGAGAGGTGCCACCTAACTTTCTTATTGCCCACTTTTATATAGATATATAGATTGCAGTTGATACGTCAATGAAAGTTGTTTATGTATATCAATTGAATAAAATGTGATTTTTATCAATGTTATATAGTAGTATATTAAAGAGTAAATTCCCTTATATTAATGCTTCAACTCAAGTAAATGGGTAAACTACTTAAAGACATTTTTGAAACAGTTTCGTTTCTTCAGAATCAAAAAAATTAATTTTCATGGTACCATTACATTTCTAGCACAGTATTGCAATTTTCAATTCAGATAACAGTAGCATAATGAGAAATTAACCATATCCATTCGCATGACATTTGATAATTACTGCAACAAGTCAATAAACTACACAAATTGAGAAGAAAAATTAAGATTGTCCTTTCAGCTTTTGTAATAGCCATCTAATATTTTTCTAACAAAAAATAAAGCTTTTACCTAAAATTAACTATTAGGCTTAAAAGAAAATTATAGAAATTGAAATAAAACAAAGTACCTTCAACCTCAATTATCGTGTAGGCTTGTAACATTATATTTTCTCAATCATTGATCTTTAGAGTACTTAATCGATAAAATAAAATCTATCATGAGTTCATGACCAAGTTAACCCAATAAGAATAAGATGTACGCATGGGTTTTGCGACAAAAAAGACGCAAATTTTCCATTAGGGTTACTCGTCAAGCATTAAACCAGATTATACGGAAAGCTTGCCCTACTACCTGCCCTGCCCTCTTTAAATTTTCAAAGATTTCAGTTTTGACCCGCCCTGCCCCGTTTAAACATTACCCTGACCCGCCCCGTTTAACCATTACCCTGCCCCGCCCTACTTTTGCCCTGCCCCTCTATCCGCTGGCTTCAGTCATTAAACCATTGCCGTCACTAGCCGCTGGTTTCATTTGCTAATCTTTCAGCTGTGGGGAGAATTGTAGCGTGGCGTCGGCGAGCAATGGAGCTGAAGCTAGCATTCCCCGCGGATACTCCGCCTTTGGCTGTTATTGCGGCGGCGAAGATTGCCGGAGTTCCACTCTCTACTGATCCAACTCTTTCTCCTGGTTCTCCTCCTGTTATCCTTCTCCCTAGTGGGTAATTTCTCAATTTCTCCGATATTTAGCCTTACTTTTCGCAATAATTGACTTGCAAACCTATAAATGTTTGTTTTCTTTTTCATGCACATTTTTTGATTGCCATTATTTTGTAAATCTTTTTTATGAGTCATGGACTAGGCAAGAATTAGATCATAAAATAATAAAAATGACGCATCTTTTTTGATCCAGATAGGGTAAGTTAACCTTGGTTGTAGGTTTCAATGGTATTGTCGGAACGTAATTATGCATATAGCAGCAGCTTTGTAGATCAGTTAGTTGTCTGTACAGAGAATTGTTTTCTTCCTTTTTGATAATGGTGATACATAAACTTCAGCTGAAGTGAAATATTAGAACATTGTTATGGTTGGGTCGTTGTTTTAGACTGTCTTTTGGGTCAGACAAATGGTCAAAAACGGTAATGGTGCCAATTAATTGATGTGACGAAGGTCTCTTGGTGGCTTGCGTTATTTGAACCTATCGTCCAGAGCCAAATAATCCATTGTACACTTTCTTAGAATGAAATTGTATTGGATGGTTCAGTTATTTCTATGTATCTTCTGGTGTTCCACTGTGGTTTTACATGCAATATCCAAGACCCTCAAGTTCAATTATTCACGTGCTACCATTTACTTACATTATGCAAAAAGTAGTATCAGGTTCGACCACCAGGCTTCTATTTCTTTGTTGGTGCATGTGACATCCTCCATTAATACGTATTGGGTTGACAAACATTAAAGAAATGCATTTCTGTAAATTGATGTGTCAATCATGTTATTAGATGAATCTCAATAGTCAATAGTGATATAGCCCTTGATGTAATTTACATATTGATTCCATGGTGTTTAGAATAATCAATTGACCATCTTAAAAAATTGAATTTATGTATCTATTTCCCGTTGCTCTTGGGTGTGTCGTTCTGTGTTTTTTGTAATGTGCTCTTTACTCTTTTTCTCTTCCAAAAAAGGCATGTCATTTTTTAGCTATGCTAGAGATTTTTGTTGTAATACCAAATGCAAGAAAATGATCTTAAGCTAATTTTTTAAATGATCGAGCTTTCCGTCATCCAACTTTCCTATAGTATCTTAACTCAACCTATTTTGCAGATTGAAGCTGCAGGGAACTTCTGTGCTTCTAAGGTACATTAGTCGGGTTGCAAACATTCCTGATTTGTACCAGCGAGACGCCTTTGAGTCTTGTCAGGTGGCCTTTTAAACTCTGCCGTCCAAAGCATTGACTTAGAGCTATTTGCTGTTCTCCGAAAGTTCAAATGAGAACTTTGGAACACAATCAAAAGAGCTTTTTGCCATTTTCAGATTTATACGTGATTTTTATGCTTCTCTGTGTTCTGATTTTTCTCTATCATTATTGCAGATAGATGAATGGCTAGAGTATGCTCCTATTTTTGCTTCTGGCTCTCAATTTGAGGAAGCATGTGGCTATGTTGATGGATATCTTCTGCAGTCCACATTTCTTGTTGGACATAGCCTCTCAATTGCGGATATTGCAGTTTGGTCTGGCCTTGCAGGTAATTGATTTGGACATAAAAAAAGTCAGTGCCTTTATGTTAAACTTGGTTAGTGTTTTTGAAGAAGTATTGGTGTTTTAATTGTGATGCTGCTGTTAGGCATTGTAACTAGATTCTTGTGTTAGACTAGATTTTACTTGGATGGCAGAAAACTGCAATTTGAAATTGAAATGTAGGAACTCATCACATAAGTGAGAACTAATGACCATACAGTCTGGAATATTGGCAGCTAAATTTCCATGTTCATTGAATGTCAACCATGAAATTAAATGTCAAAGATTCTTATTCTAAGATTGCCTTCACATGCACTCTCTCAATGCCTCAAGTGAAAATTTAGGCAAGTTGATGTCCAGTTAACTTGGTTAATTAGAGATACTTTTTGATAAGGAAGCAAAGTACAATCCCACACGCCCGGTAACTAGAGATACCATTTTAGAGTGTAGACCATAGCTACCATCCTCTATCCTTTTTTGATCAGACTCGCAATTACCATCCTCCATCCTGTGATCCTACAATGATGCAACATGATTGTCGTGGAAAAGCTGGTCTGTGAACACATTCTTACACTCTCTTGCACTTGCAGTAAACATTTTTTCAAGAAAATACAATTTCGCGAGAGCAGAATCAAATAGGCTTGAGAGGAAACATATAAAACACAAGAGCTAGCGTAAAGACAAATGTGTTTATTTCTCACATCTTGTCCCTAAGAAGAATGAGCTTACAATAGTAAACAAAAGAGTTAAAAGAGTTTGCTTTTATCAAGTCCTCTCTGTAACAAAGAATGAGCTTACACTAGCAAACAAAAGGAGTTCGAAATATTGTCAGTCTTAATCAACTAGAGGAGAGCCAAGGATTTGGTGCTACATAAGTGTAACCTTGAAAGTGTTCGTCTGTTGTCGGAGTATTTGCTGGTGAGTCATCTGGTGGCATCGTAGTCCAACATTTGTCAAAATTGGCAGTGCAAGCTCTGCCAATTACATCTGGTTTGAACTTAGGCTGTAGTTCTCTGGCATCTAATTTCTTCCAATTGATTGACCGGAACCACTTGTGACTTTTGATCTCATCCCCTCCTCTTGGTCCACTGCCTAATTTTTTTGATGCGTCCTTTTGCAGCAACTAAAGGAAAAAAGTGGAAGTTGTCATTCAGTTGAATTACAAGCATTTTTCTAAGAAAGTCTGGGCAAGCAGTCAATTGATAGTTTGTACATACTTCTTTGAGCAGAGAGTGAGCTTCACCGGTCAGACGTGGTAGAAGTTTCACTTTCTCGTTGATGATCTTTTCCTGAAGCTTCTTTTTATTTGAATGTGTGAATGGTGGCTGAAAGAAATGAGAGTCAAAAAGTGTTCCAAAGACCCCACAAAAATCTTTCTAAAAAATAATGCAATTAATAGTACATTTCACAACAAATAAGATCCATAGAATGTCCAATGGTTTACGCTTTTTGCATTATTACAGAAATGAATGATTCTAGTGTTCTAATGCAAACACTTAGATTACCTGACCAGTCAGCATCTCATACAGAAGTATCCCAACGCTCCACCAGTCAGCTTCTTTATTGTGGTCCTTTGACTGTAATTGACTATCCTCTGCTGTGTGTTAGAAATGAGCACTGTGGTCTGTTTTGATTCCTTAAAAGTACAAAAAACTGTGTCGATCTTAATTTGAGGAATTTACATGGTTTGATGTTGCATTTTAAGCTTTTCTAGCCAAATAAGATCTATGTATGACGAGTTTGTGGATGAGTATCATTACTGGTTTACTGATATTTCTGGTTGCTTACCGAAAGGAGAATGTGCAATGGTTTGAGCAGAAATCTTTCATTTTCTCCTAAGCTAAGGGAACTAAATTTAGATAGTTAACTTATTAATTGTTCGAGTGTAATTGAATTCCTTCTGAACTAAACTAGAATTGCCGAGCACCATTGTCAAAACTGTTGTTTCAATATTCCCTTCATTTTGGATGTAGTCATATCTACCTTTTCATCCTCATCCAATTCCAGGGGTGGATCTAGGGGGGCAGAAGGGGGTTTCGCCGGAAAATTACACTGTGTATAGGGTTGGATTTAGTTTTTAATGGATATATATATTAAATGTTGCATCCCCTTGACACAAGCCTAAAGCTTAGTTTTGTGGTCAAGGGGGTTCAAACTTTCCTTAGGGTTGCAAGTTCGATTCCCAGTTCCCAGTTGACGCAAATATATTTTTTTCATTCTGTTTCGAACGGTACATCATGCAGAAAGTGAGTCAAATAAGACTCCTATTGTCTGCCTTCAAGTCTGAACTTCTTTTAAATTAATTGTAGTCTTACTTAATTATTAAATAATCATCTTTTCTGATGTAAATTCTCTACTTTTTGGTATACTTCTTGTATACGGGAGTTCTCTCCCTTTTGATTAATACAATTTACCTTATCAAAAAAGTTAAATAATCATCTTTTGTTCATTTTTTGTTTATTATCTATTATACATTATATTTTTGTGCCTTTTCTTCCTTAGAATGCCCTTTTTTACTAGCATATTACTTTTTTCTTTTGGAAAATAGATTACTTCAAAACAAATTAATCCAACATAATATTGTTAGCATGATTTTTGACAAATAGTTTAAGTTTCATCTAGATTCAAATTTTTTTGATGAACCCGTTTGACATTACATATAGATATAAAAAATTTCGATGAACCCGTTCGACAATTTTTTTTACTATTCACTTCTTTACAAATATTGAACCCCCTTGCTCATAATCGTGGATCCGCCACTGTCCAATTCATTTTCAAGATTCATGTGGGATGTATGTTTGATCTTCTGTTGATTTCTATTTGGAAGGACTGATTCCATAAATATTAAATATGGTGGCAAGTTCTGTTTTGAAAGGTTCACAAAATCGCTCAATGTAGCACTTTAGGAGACTGCAGTGACTTTGGCCTTTATATTTTTCACTAGTTCCTTTCCACAAGATATATTTCCGTCTCTTGTTTGTTGCACTAACCTATGGGGCAACGTATCCTTGTTCATAGCAATAGCCAATTTTTGATCAAATCCCTTTGTTATTTGTTAGGAAATAAAAGAGTGACTCTTGCATTTAAGCTAATTATTAAAGCACTTTTAAAGCAACTAATAGAAATTGAAATTGCAAACTAGTTTATCTTATTTGTTGACTAATTGAGAACGAAAAATCGATTTTGAGGTAAAAGATTTATTGACGTTATATTGGATATTGAAATTAATGATTTCAATTGTTAAACAGTGTTATAAGTGCTAAACTCCCATATGGTAGCTAATTCTTGTATTCTGGAAATTATGTGCTTCACTCTGTAAACAATGTTCCTTTTTTGCGCTTTCTGCTGTTAAAGCAGTGCTGGAGCTCTAATTCCAATTGAGCTGGAAATGTCAGTTAACGTTGGGAATTGGTTGTCCGTGCTTGGTGATATGTTAGTGCAGGTGGATCTATTTTCAATTGCATTAGGAGAAAATTCTAGGAGTGAAGTAGAGTGTAATATGCCTGAACTGCACCGATGGTAAGTTTTTAAAAAGGACGCAAAGCTGATAAACACTTGGGACTTTTAACCTCTATGCTTCCATTTTTTTTGGTTGAGAAAATTAGCATTATTGCTTCTCGAAGCACATTTTTGCTTTGTCTTTGGGAAAAAATATTTTGCGTTTTGTTCCATTTTTGGGGCATCACAAGAACTAGACCATAATTAAGGCCCTGTGAATACATCATGAATTTCTTACAAGTGGTCTCATCACTGAAAATCAATTGGGAAGGTTGCATTTTTGCCAAAATCTGTCTATCTTCCGGCTAGAAATCGACCCTTAGTTGGATTAATTGATATGAATTTGTGCTTGTTTTATAATTATTCAGTGCCATGCTCTATTTTGCTTATTGGTGCTTAACTTGTGCACAGGTACTGGAAAGAGATGGGAAAGCCTAAGATCTTCTAAGAAGTACCAAAATCTGGCAAGGTGGTTCAACTCAATATTAGCTGAATATGATGGTGTTCTAAATGAAGTCACAGCAACATATATGGGAAAGAAAGGCTCGGGAAAGCCAACTGTATCTAAAGTGAAAGAGCAAGATGGCTCAAATGCTAATTTGGCCAAAGTAAATGGTGATTCCACTGACAAGGAAAAATCAGGTAGCAGACCAACATTTGAGGTGGATCTTCCAGAGGCAGAGGCTGGAAAAGTGCGTTTGAGGTTTGCACCAGAACCTAGTGGTTATCTCCATATTGGTCACTCAAAAGCAGCATTACTGAACCAGTATTTTGCTGAAAGATATAAAGGGGAAGTTATTATTCGTTTCGATGACACGAATCCTGATAAGGAAAGCAATGAATTTGTGGATAATCTACTGAAAGATATTGAAACTCTAGGAATTAAGTATAGGACTGTGACATATACATCTGATTACTTTCCAAAATTGATGGAGATGGCTGAGAAATTGATTCGTGAGGGTAAAGCCTATGTGGATGATACACCAAGGGAGCAAATGCAAAAAGAAAGAATGGATGGAATTGAATCAAGGTGTAGGAACAACAGTGTGGAGGAGAATCTGAAATTATGGAAGGAGATGATTGCTGGCTCAGAGAGGGGAACAATGTGTTGTGTTAGAGGGAAATTGGATATGCAGGATCCTAACAAGTCAGTTAGGGACCCAGTATATTACCGCTGCAATCAGACTCCTCATCACAGGATTGGTGCTAAATATAAAGTATACCCTACTTATGATTTTGCATGCCCATTTGTAGATGCTATTGAAGGTATTACACATGCTCTTCGATCTAGTGAGTATCATGACAGGAATGACCAGTACTACAGGATTCAAACTGATATGGGTTTCAGAAAAGTTCATATTTATGAATTTAGTCGGTTGAATTTGGTCTATACACTTCTTAGTAAGCGTAAGCTGCTGTGGTTTGTGCAAAATGGACTGGTTGAAGGGTGGGATGATCCTCGATTTCCGACTGTACAAGGGATAGTGCGCAGAGGGCTGAAGATTGAGGCGCTGATACAGTTCATTCTTGAACAAGTAAGATAGCAACGGTGTTGCTTTATTGTTAACTTGAAGTACAATGAATATTGTCAACACAAATTCATGTTTTCTAAATCACTCAGAATATCAATGCGTACTTAGGAAGGCGTCCCTTTGGAATAACCGTTTATTTCATAATCTGACTAAGCAAAATCATCTCTGTATTTTCTGTCATAAGTCTGAAATAAGAGATGGTTCTTCGCTTCTTTGTTGTTTTTGTTTTTCATACCCCTCCCTCTTCTTTTGGGTGAAGGAGGGGGGCAAAAACTTATTTTCCTTTATTGCGTACAGGACTTGCATTTGTAGTCCAAAGCAAGTCCTTGACTAATCTGAGATTCTGAATTAGGAAGCATTCTTTTATATGTTTGATATTGTATCTTGAAGCCTAAAGAATGTTCTTCACGAAATCTTTAGGGAGCATCAAAGAATCTCAATCTAATGGAGTGGGACAAGCTGTGGGCCATTAACAAGAAGCTCATTGATCCTGTATGTCCTAGGCATACTGCAGTTATTGAAGAAAGACGAGTCCTATTGACTTTGAGTAACGGGCCAAATGATCCTTTTGTACGTATTGTACCCAAGCATAAAAAATATGCAGGTGCTGGGGAAAAGGCAACAACTTACTCCAAAAGAATCTGGATAGACTATGATGATGCTGTATCAATCTCTGTCAACGAGGAAGTAACATTGATGGATTGGGGTAACGCAATAGTGAAAGAGATACAGAAGGACCAAGAGGGTAATGTTACTCATCTGTCTGGGATTCTGCACCTTGAAGGGTCAGTTAAAACAACGAAGTTGAAGCTCACTTGGCTGCCAGATAGTGATGAGCTTGTTAAACTCTCTTTGGTCGATTTTGACTATTTAATTACAAAAAAGAAGGTATGACTTTTTTCACTTCAATTGGTTTTATATTCGGATGGGTTTTCAAAGTCCAGCCTATCCTTTTACTAAACTATCTATAGTCTTTTCCTCCACATTTCCAATTAAATTTGGAGTTTTAATGCAGTCAAATTGTTGGAACCTGTGAATGTTTTATGGTATACCATATTGTTGAATTATGTGAAGTAAAACTGAAAAATACTATTGTTCCCTGGTAACAGTGAGAAGGGGCTATTTACTTTTTATTTGATGGGTAAGAAGGGGCTAATTCATCTTGAATAATAAGATTGATACAAAGAAATTGAAGTGTGCCTTTTTCACTTTAGTTCTGGGGAAGTATTGGTAATAAGGATGATTGAGTTTTCTTTCACAATTGACTTCGAACTTGGGAATGATGAGTATCCGATTAGTGTAGAGATCTGTCATGTAAGATATCGTAAAGACTATTGTTCACATACTATTACTGCAAAGCATGAAATTCTAGCCTATCCTTCTAGTAAACGAACTGTAGTCTTTCTTTCCTCTACATGGTCGGATAAATTTGTTTTTTAATGTGGTAGTTGATTTCTTAGAACTTTTAAATGTTTTACGATATGCTATATTGGTCAACAATGTCAAGCATTTTAGGAGATTATAAAATGATACAATTTTCCATATAATGCTAAGAAAGAGCTATTGCTTTTGATTCAATAATCTCATTGATATGGTTTGGATGGAGCTTTAGGAAATATTGGTGATACGAATTCTTTGGGTTGTCTATATGAAAAATATTACTGTAGAACTTATGAACGATGAGTATATTGTTACTGTTGGTTTGTCAAGCATTTACACAATGGTAAAAACGATATTTTTGCATACATCGGTAAAGAGAGCCCTCCTCATTTATAATATTGATTTAGATATGAACTTTGTTATATGCTTCATACGAATTTTGGGGAAGTATTGATGATAGGGATGGTATGGAAAACAAAAAAGGTAATAAAAGCAGAGAGTACTATGGGCTCTCCCTCCTTGTTTATAATCCATTACAGTGTAATGGAACGAACCCTTTGGCCCATTAACAGTGTACAGTTAAAGTTATAGAATACCTTTCTTGATGTGCTGTTTTGGACTGTTTATTTGTTTTCCATCTGACTTGGAGAGGACTTGGTACCAATCATGTATTGAATTGTTAATTTTTGTCTTGCAGCTCGAGGAAGATGAGAATTTTGTTGATGTTGTTAATCCTTGCACAAGAAAGGAGACTCCGGCACTTGGTGATTCCAACATGAGAAACCTGAAGCGTGGAGACGTGTTGCAGCTGGAGAGGAAGGGCTACTTCAGATGTGATGTTCCTTTCTTAAGACCAACAAAATCCATTGTTCTTTTTGCCATCCCAGATGGTAGACAACAACCAGTGTTGCGGTTTGCAGGCTCAGATGGCAAAACAAAATGAAGACAGTTCAATACATTAGTGCTGGATTAATGAGAAGTGACTGAAATCCTTCTAATGCAAGTTGATTAGATTACCAATCCTTAATTGTCTTGTTTTAGAAGTCTTTACTAGCTATATTAGTTTTCTTTTTTGTGTCGCAGACATAGCCGTGGCATTATTTTGTCTGCAGAAGTGAAACATGTATGATATATACCTCTTTGGTCTAGTTTGTCATTTGATAAAACTAATGATTCTTGTTTTCAGTTTTACCTGATCGAGCTCTGCTCTCTTTAATATGCCGTGCCTTCGCTAAAACTATTAGCTGTTTTCATGCTTCTAGAGGAATCACATGGTTTTATATGATTGTCTCGTTATGAAACCAATTTGCATTGGAAGGACTACAGTTTCTGTATTATATCACAGGGGCATGAGGATAGCAGATTTTGGGAACTATGTTGTCCAATTCGTTCATCAAGTACATTTTCTATTCTCAAGATTTTGGTTTATTTAGTGAAGATTCTCGGTTATGCACCATTTTAGAACCTTGAAACTATTTAAATATATTGAAGACTGTAAATTACTCTGGAATACAGTATGAAATTAAAGCGCCAGGTTTATGTTCCCATAACTTTGGTTTACCCTTTGTTAAACATGGTGCTTTAATTTTGACTATTCAGAATAAGTTCACTGCAATACTGAGAATCACCTCACATTAGAACCTTAACCATCTTTTAACGTTTTCTTTCTTGTACGCTCGCAGTAATTTTCGCTATACAAAGGCCCAATACATTCCTTAAAACATCTTTTAAAATGATTTTGTCCAAATCTGAACCTTCCAGATCGGAGTTGTCCAGAAAATTACTCTAACCGAACAATGAGCTTTTGCGCAGAAAATCAAAGGCTTTTAATTTTACTAAAGAAAAGTAAGTTTAGACAACATTATTTGAGTCGTTAAGTAATTATTAAGCAAACCTTATTCGCTTGAAACACAGAGCCAAATGAGGTAGCTCGACTAAGAATTCTGAACAATATAATTCACCTAACCCTCCTTTTTATGTGGAAACTATACCGCTTTTTACACTGTCATCATCCATATCATAAAATACTTAAAAATCTGACTTGAAAAACCATAATTTGTACAGTCGTTCTTCAGCCCCATCTCATTATCCAATTTACGTCTAATGATAGAATCATTCCTTTTTGCCCTCCTTTTTTGAACATATTTGTCAAATGTAAATTGCTTTAGACAAAAGTGACTTCAGAATTAACAAGTTACTTAGTTACAGTTTAATGCACTAATTACTTGGTTGCGTAAAGAAATTAGACAGGTGTGCCATTTATTATTCTTTTCGAACCCCTTTTGTAGATACAAATTGCCTAATTTATCATTGAAAATCAATAAACTCCACGAGTTATTTTGACATCGTTTTCTCCAAATTTCTAAAAAGTACGCACTTTGTCGATACTCGACACATTTCTGAAAGGGCCAAGAAAAAAAAAATTCCTCTAAAGACAAATAAGAATTAAAGAGATGTGTAAATAATACGTAAATTACAATATTATTTTAGTTATATGATTCTTTTTACAGAAGATACGTAAAAAATAACAAAAGAAATGTGTAAAAAATACTGTATTGGGTGATACCCTTTTTTGCTTGAGCCCGACCGGGTTGGGTCCGGTCCGGGGCAAGTCGGGGCCATCAAACCCGACCTGGATGCAAGGTAGAACGACGGCCACGTCTACAACCGAGGTCGAGTCATTTCGAGACCGTTGCAGAGCTCGATATGAGTCACCACCGGATGGAGAAACACACAAGATCGGAAGCCGGACTCGTAACGGATAACCAAGCGTCGCCGGATATCTCGCCCAAACGTGATTTTCTCAACCACTTCAGGCCATTAAGGCGTAATTACAGGGATCCACGATGTAATTAATTTACCTACCTTATTTTTACCCTTAATCAGAATGTATAAAAGGGGAGAAGACCCCATAAAGAGGGGACCGGGAAAAAACCATTACACTACAGTACCATCTCTCTAAATTCTTGTACGCTATCAAGCACAATTGTTCTAAGCAATATTATATTCTGCGATTATTTACTTTAACAGCAATTGTTGAGTCTTTATCTTTATTTTCCTCAACCTAAACCTTTTGTATCTTTTAGTTCACGGATCCTTAAAACCCCATATAAATTCAATTGTTATCCGGATTCCAGGGTAAACAGTTTGGCGCCCACCGTGGGGCTAAGGATATTAGTGAGCTCTTTGATACTCTTTCTTGACACATCACAATACACTGGTTCTTTGCAAAAGAGTCCATCTTACATTCAAATTACCAACTCATAGAATGGCACAATCAATCAACAACGAACTTGAACAGCAGACAGGAAGCAATGGAATGCCCGGGCTCGAAAACCCGATAGATGCCGGTTCCCGGATGGCGCTCAATACTGATCAGGCCTCCGGATCATCGCATAGCGTCCGAGGAGAGGATGATTCGAGGGCCCAGGCAGTCGGCGAAGAGACTATCAACCTTAAAATGATTTTTGACATGCTGCAAGCCCAGCAATCGGCTATAGCTCAGCTCCAGAGCCGGGTCCAGGAGCC